TGTTTCATCAATTTTATATTCCTACATCTGGTAATCTGAGCAACTACTCAGAAGATAACAATAAGTAATACAACAAACATTTCCTATCATCTTGTTTTGAAATTCTGTATCATTTTTATAGTCTTGCTGTCATTTTTTAGAATACGTTTTTTTTTATTTTGAGTTTGCTTTTTTCTCCTTAAAATAAAAATTTAAAGAAGCCCTGCAATGTTTGAAGCAGAAAAATAGTGAAGTTCTTTTATTAGATTAGGAGAAAATCTGCCCTGTATACCCGGGTTGTGTAGTACTGAAGACATTTGTGCTCTTCTGTGAATTTAAAGAAAATACAGAATTAATGTCTTTCTAAAAGGATCAGCTCGAACTGTCTGCAACAAAGTGAATGCACGATGAGACAAAAGTTAAGAGGAAATAAGTCAAACAATTTTAAATATCCCATGAATTTTGTTCTTCTTTTTAAAAATCAAAATATAAATAAAGAGTAAAACATATGCTAACGGGAAAATACATCTTTTGCGAAACATAACAAAAACCCAGAGTTGAGGCAGGAAGAGAGAACAGAGGCATGGGAGAGTAGAACAAAGATTGGAGATGAGTTCTGCAAAGGCACCGACCCTCCCCAGGAGGAGAAGCATGTACGGTAACTACATACTACCGAAATGCAAAAGTACAAAGGGCTGAACATGGGCTCTGAAAGTGTGAACAAAGGAAAGGCGTGAGCACCTCCATGGGATGGTGAATACAATCTGAAGGCGCCTAAAATGTAACCTCCTCAATTATTCACAGTCATTGTATTTTCACAACCCTCATCATAATCTGCAGAAAATAACAATCATCTATCTAATATCTGATGTATGTATAAAGTCCATCTAGTTAAGTTCCATATTTGCCCAGCATTTGGAGACTTAACTACATTAAGTAATGAAATAGTTTGAAAGACTGTACTAGAGAGTGGATTGCATATAAATAAATGAAACTATCTTTGACATAGTTTTCAAGTCTAAGAATACAGCAGAGCAGAGCCTGAAGGGGTAAGGAGTGTGCACCCTAGACCATGACAGAGTGATTACACATAGGGTTGAAGTTGGGTATATTCGTAGGCAGACAGAAACCTGAATAAAAGACTCACCAAGAGATGCCAGGTTTCCGATGTTTTCCAGCATCACATCTCTATACAGCTTCCGCTGGGGTGTGTCCAGTAGGGCCCATTCATCTGGGGTGAAATTGATGGTCACGTCTTCAATGGTGATTGATTCCTGCACAGACATGCACAGCCCAATTTATACAGAGAAATAGTGAAAGTGTGCAAGAAAGTGAGCTGAGAAGACATCACTGAAGCAGAGAAGAAACAGTGCATATGAAGAAGCCAAGCTGTTTGGGGCAAGAGTTAACTCACTATCAGCAGCAGGCTGGGATCTAATTTCTGAGACCCGCCCTGAAGGACAAACACTGTGAACTCGTACACTTCTTATTTCACAGAGTTTCACATGAATCATGGTTTAGAGAATGGGTCAACTTCTAATAAATATACTATAGATTCATTCCGTACATTATTATAAAACTTAGCCTTGAAATAATGAAACGAAAAAGCTCTTAGTTATTTTAGGGAATTCTAAATAAACATCACAGTGAAAATCATTGCACTGCTTTGCCATTTGTATACCACGGTTTTTGTTCCTCCATTTCTACGCAACCATCTGATATTCCTCATGTATTCTGTGGTCTTCTATTGTGTTGTGAATGTTGAAAGATCCAGTATTTTGCCTATCTAAACAACATAAATTGTAACTTAAATATGCATTACTTGTAATATACAAGGAACACTCCAGGTTACTGAGTTTATCTCTGAGAATGGGATAACTTCCCTCTATCATAACTTCAGTAGTTGCCATATACGTTTGCCCGCACCACTTAACGGAGGAGAAGAATTCATTGCTGCAGACTCTTAAGCAGGAGTCAGAAATACTGTGACTTTCACCCTGAGGCCAAAAGTAACCTGAAAATTCCCGATCTATGGACACGCTCAGGAGTTTCTAAAATGTGAAAACAGTGCCCTGACGGTTTGATCCTTCACTTGGATGATATTCCCCTCTTCACAACTGAGCAAACCCTTGTTCTGTTCTTTAAAAAATTATCAGTGTGATGCTACAGTTGAATAAAAATTGAGGGCCAAGGCTATACCTCAGCCACCAACGATCGCCTGGAAGCTCAAGGCACTGAGTTCAATTCCTGGTACAAAGAATGGAGTCATTTGTAAGGAAATAGATTAAACTGATGATGATAATATTCACAAAATAAACTGGATAAGAAGATGAAATATAACCGATTGATCTTACATGATAACCTCTAAATAGAAATGACACTACATCAAGAGACATATGATGAGAAATAGGCAGATATATGGCTTGAAAAAATCAGGAAGACCAGGAGAGGAGGGAGAGGAAACAGGGCAGGAGAGGACGCTGGAAATCTGAAGGTGTCTCTTGGACACATTTCACCTGCACAAGAGGAATGCACTCATTATGCACTGCAACAGTTGTAACAATAAAAATGGTATAAAAATTACCCATTTCTTCCATTTTCCATTTTCGTTTTTGTTGTCTTTTCTCATTTGTCTACCGTCATATGTTAGTGACCATACTGCTGAATGCTATCCAGCTTTCAAATATAAAATTTGGTTAATGTTCCTTTTCTAATCCACTATAGCATGCTGAAGTTTCCCTCCTTCAGTCTTCTTTGAATATTTTAATGTGTTTACTTTCATTTCTTAAAAGATATCCTTTACCACAGAAATCCCATTACACTGCTAGCCTTTACAGAAGAAATTCAAAATGCACCTGCAGGGGCTGGGGATTTAGCTCAGCGGCAAAAGCGCCTGCCTGGCAAGCGCAAGGTCGTGAGTTCGGTTCCCGGTACCGGAGAAAAACAAA